CTGCGATAGAGCTAAAGCCTACTAGGGATAACCAAAGTCACTGACAGATAGCACCTTTGTTATTATTGGGACGCATGAACTGTCAATTTCATAGTAAAAGCAATCTGTAGATAACCTATCCGTCCTCCCACAGGTAATGACAACCATAGATTAGTTTGCCTATCGCCGGTAAGTTTATTGAGACGGCAAATTTAAAGATAGATAGATTTTTCTATCTCCAGTAGGGCAAAACAAGGGATAGATAGAATATTGGGAACGGCCGTTAATAATTTAACACGAATTAGTCCGCAATGTTGCAGTGTTCCCCTAAACTGACGTGTTACATTTGAACGACGCCACGTGTGGTCACCTTGCGATCACCGATCATTATCTTTTTAATGCTGGTCAAATATTGATCTTTTTTTTATGACATAAGCAATGGTAAGCAATCGGCGTCGCCCATGGACACTTGGAACACCAAAGGCGTTACAAGTGCGTTACCGGCTTTTTGGGGATCATAGGAGTTTGAGGATCGTTGGGGATTCAGGGATTGGGGAGATTAGGTAGGGGAGGGTAATTGGACTTCCGGTAACCTCACTCACACGACGAAACACAACGCAAGCGTTGCTTCACGTCGGTTTTCTGTGAGGCCGTGGTAGCACTCCGGTCGAGCCGGCCCATTCGTGCCGAAGCATGGCTCTCCCACACTTTTGTGATTTTTTGTGTGAAAGTATTGATATTCTATAATTATTTATTTTTGACGGAAGACTTAGATCAAAATAATTAGTTTATCAGTCTTCGGTGCTTCGTAATTTGTAAGTGTGGGAGAGCCATGATTCGGCACGAATGGGCCGGCTCGACCGGAGTGATACCACGGCTGAGCAGAAAATTGACGTACAACAACGTTTGCGTTGTGTTTCTTCGTATGAATGAGGTTACCCCCTTCTCCAATCTCCCCGATCCCTGAACCTCCAGCAATCCTCAAATTTCTAATCACCAAAAGACCGGTAGCGCACTTGTAACACCTCTGGTGTTCCAGATGTCGGGATGGGCGACGCCGATTGCTTACCATTAGGTGATAATATAAAAAATCTGTAACTTTAACAATTGTCGACTTAAATTGGATGAATTCGTCAACTTAAATTGACTGAAGTTCATATTCAAGTAACAGTCAACATATAATATATATTTTATTAGGATATCAAGATTTCAGGTTTAATCTCCGAGTTGGAAAGTAATGGGGCTTTTTAGGAATCCTATGCGAAGATTTTCTGACTGACTATTACGGCTTTTAACCACTGTCAAAACCGCAGCCAAAATACACGATAAATGAAAACTGTTCACGTGTCTAATTGCCCTGTCAACCCCCGAAATGACAGGGAGTTAGTTAATCTACACCATTGCACCTGCGGCCGTGGGGATGAGCACACCTGTTTCAAATGATGGTGCCTAATTGTTATAA